TTTTGTGACCAGTGTGAAAGTAAGAGTTTTAATATCGGCATTGTATCGTTCTTGCTTAATAATGTTAGAATAACAATTTTTAAACTGTAATAGCCCTCGTATGATAAGCTCCTTTGTGTGATAGGTCCCTTCTGTTGCAGTTCTGCTTCTCAGGTAGTCACGTAATGGGAGTTGGTGTGATTCTGCTCCTTTTCCTGCTGTAAGCCGCCACGATTCCTTGGCAGATAAATAAATAAATTATTATTATTATTATTATTATTATTATTATTATTATTATTATTATTATTATCTTCCTTGCAGCCACCATGTTAGCCAACACCTTCCCAAAGCCGGCTGCTGTGTGCACATTTTTGTGGGGAGAACCTTCAGGGTAGGGTGATTCACAGATGATTTTCTTCTCCCAATAATTTGCCCATTACTTAAACTTCTATTGTTCTGCATCAGCTGCAGAGCTTTATTGATCCCTAGCAAGAAACAGTGACTGCTTCACTTTTAATGGCAGAAAATTTTTAAAAAAATTACAACAAATATTGTGTAACTGTATAATACACTACAGTGGACCATTGGTATCCACCGGTTTTTGGTTCCAGGAGCCCCGGTGGAGACCAAAAATCTGTGGATGCTCAAGTTCTGTTGTATACAATAGCATAGGAAAATGGTGTCCCTTATATAAAATGGCAAAATCAAGGTTTACTTTTTGGAATTTATATTTTTTTTCAATATTTTCAGGCCATGGACGCTTGAATCTGTGGTTAAAGAATTTGTGAATATGGAGGGCCACCTATATTGTGTGTTGAAACCCTTAATGATATTTGCTTAGATAAAATCTGGAAAATCTTGTCCTCCAGTTCCCTCAGAATGAAATTCCCCTTCGTTTTAACATCTACTGTTGTAATTTGTTAAAATTGTTTTATTGTTGTTAAATTGTTTTAATTTCATGATGTTTAATACTGTTTTAAGGGGAGGGCGGGTTTGGGTCTAGGAGGGTTTACTGTGAGATTTTATTGTTGTAAGCTGCCCCGATTGCTTCGGTAGAAATTATTATTATTATTATTATTATTATTATTATTATTATTATTATTATTCCCATCAGGCTTTGGAAGCGTGAAGCATCCCAGTATATTCCACCAGGTGACAATGATGACATCAAAGTCTCCCTCTTTCCCTGGAATATCCACATCCCTTCCACCACTCTGCATGACTGGGGCCTCAAGTGGATGTCTTCTGATGTTTCGGCACCCCAAGATGAAGACAACAAAGCTCATGGGCAAAACCGGAAGTCCCACCTATGGGAAGAGGAGAGAGGGAAAGCTCCATCTCCTGGGGGCCAAAAGGTGGTGCTATACCCAGCAGGCTGGGTTCCAGGTTGGGGTGGGAAGCGAAGTACTGTGGTAGGAGATGACGTAGCCTTCCGGGAGCAAAGCAAAATGTTGACAGATATGGAAAGGCAGAAGTGGCTCAACTACTATATGCAAAAAATTTTGGTAGTGAACTCTGATTAAGATGGGGTTGTGAATTGGCAAGGGGTGAAGTAATGGCAGGTGGCATGAGAGTCAAGTTAGCTCTATGGCACTACTCACAGAAACCCTTTAAGAAATATAATAAATGTATCCATCAATAACATACTGGCCAGGTAGGATCCTATGTAACAGTGATGGTAAACCTTTTCGGGATGGGTGCCCAAAGTAAAAGGCCTTCCAGCCCCAGGGGTTACCTGTTGCCGGGGGTGGGACATCCACCCTCCAGGGGTGGGACTTCTGGGGCTGACTTTTTTCCTCAGCCTTTAGCTGCCTCTCCAGACACAGCTAAAGGTGAGCGGGGAAGACTCCTCATCATGCCATCCCCAGCCTTCATATGCCTCCAGGGAGGCAATTGGAAGTCTGGGATGGTCAGGAAGGAGAGGAACAGGTGATCTCCTCTTCCTCCTCCTCCCCACCCTCTGCATGCCGGGGGGAATGGTTTCATGTGCCATCTCTGGTACGCGTGCCATAGGTTCACCATCACAGCTATATAACCTACAGTCCTGGATCCCAGTTTATGTACTTCAATGACATTTCACAAAGAGGTATCCCGAACCTCCCTCTGCAACAATCATTGGCCCTGGTGTGCAAGAGCAGCCAGGGAGCTTCCAGGCATGGTTGCATTTTTCTAGTCATACCTATACCAGGTATT